TAAACTTGTACTGAGTACTACCACGTTATGATTTTAACGATGTCTAAACCAGGCTTTCAAATATAATACATATGAGATGAAATAATAACAATCTATTATTTAGAAGACACAACACTCTTTTTAACACAAGGATAAAGTCTCAACATTTGTTATTTTCCGCACTAAGAAAACACAAAGCGTCCCAATCTATTTCTGGCACAAATACGGGAATTTTGACATTATTTAAAACTTAAGGGATGAATTCAGTGTAAAATAATACAATATGCTTACTGGTGGGAATAACCCGTCGTCTGCCTGTTAAGTTCATTAAATACGTTGAGTCATATGAAGTCATGTGAAAGAACATTCGATGCTCTGTGTATTTTTCCTTGATTCTCAGATGTTAGAAAAAAAAAACGTTGCAGAACTAATTACTGATTCCCGAAAGAGAAAAATTACTAGTTTCCTCTATTTTTTCCTACAGTTATGTTCTAATAGATATCTGAATGTTTTATTTCATTTTGTCTGTAGAGATGTTTACATACTACTCGTAAGTAGGAAAATTCACTCTTGACTGTGTAAGCTACTTACAAATAGTTTTCACAGTCGAAAAACCCAGTAATATAATACTTCTTTCAATTCGCGAAAAAAATATACCGAAACTCAACAACGCAAACAATGACACACTGTCCTCACAGTAACTATGACTGTATTGTTAAAACTTAACCTTCTACCGCTTCTATGTAACTATTCATCATAATATACCTTTATAATATAAAGAAAACTATTATGTCACAGATACTCCAAGTACTTGCTTATAAGCTTCGATACTATCGATATTTGTAACCTTAGAGCCGGCCTTGACGCTAGCAAATAGTGAAATGCATCGACATGATGCAATGTCTCGCCACCAACAAATGCCTGAGTCTTTAACATTTGATATGTTTGTTTTAGAAGCCATTGTATTTGTAATATGGATTAATTTTACACGACTTCGTTTAAAGTTGTTATTGTATTACGTAACATCATCACTTTGGACACGCCTTACTTCCGGAAAGGATAGAGGTGTCATATGCGTCCATATTTGGTGTTGTAATGTCAATGTAGTAGAAAAGAAGCATACTATTAACAAATTAGATTCTGGGTTATTACACAAATAAATATTGCTGGTGTAAAAATGTCCAACTGAATCAAGGAAATAACTTTAATGAAACATCATCGACAACCTCTCATTACCTATAAATCTCTTTTAATTAGAACCATCGAGAGTTCATAGGAAATGCAGATTTATTATTGTTTATGTTTAATTTCTGATCCTTGAAAATATCCGAGAAATCGCCGCTGTAAAAGTTATTACAGTTCGCATGCATGGTAATGGCGAGGTCGCATGCATGCACAACATTGACCGATGCGATAAAAACTAATCACGTCATATGCTCGTATTGTTCTAATTTGTAATCCCATACAAGAATGCGACTGTAAACTATAACGTTATGAAGCGTTAATAAATTACCACTATACGTTTTGTAATAGGCAATAATGAGCTGAATGTAGCCACGCTGGATTTTATTTGAAGCTCTAGAGTTTCATAGTTAAAGTGAACTTATAATTTTCTCATTGCCAGACAAAGATGGTGTGTTAAACAGAAACAGTTTTGAAACATATCTTCAGCTCATAACTATATAATTTTCTTGAATGTGAGATACCTTCGTGCTTTACCTATTTGGTTTCGAAGCCACCAAAGAATAGGTATAACAAAGAACCCACTAAACAATTTAGGGTCTATTATTTTGAACGAAAGAGGGTCTCTTTGCTAGCCACGACTGACTGGCGACATGTAATTACTATAATGTATGTGTAGGAAACAAAGGAACTAGTTGTTTGAAAGACAACAAAGACTAAGGTAATTAAAGGCTTCCAAAGGCGCCCTAAATACTCACGTACTTCTAACGTGAAAAATTAACTGATTAAAACAAAATTTGCTCTTTTTGGAATGCCTCAAGGTAGAACATGGAAAAGCGTTTGATGGTCGCATTGAGAGATGAAGATGATTGTAACGCAGTCTCATAAAATAAAAGTAAGAAATAATTATACGCACATAGATAGCAAAAAATACCTAGGTGTTAATAGGTTCATAAAAGACTTGACAACTTGCAACAACAAAATGACCTTAGTTTCACGCGCTTGATTACAAATGTTGCAAATTCGTGTACAATTAATATACATTCAAGACTCGCAGGTATCAAATGCATCTTTACAATTTAAATTGTGCAATTTGATTTAATGATATTGGTATCCTTCAGTTGCCTCAAGATATTTTAACCAACACTTATTGACTGATTTGGTTGAATGATGCTACAGTACCTACTTAATCATTTGCATCTAATTTGAGATAGCAATTACAGGATCGTCGAATATGGTCTTAAACACTTAACATGTTTTATGAGCAACTAGTAGGTCTATAAAAAGTTAATGCATTAGTCTTGTAATAAATGTCGTTTTGTTTTCATTCAAATGACGTCAGGCCGTAATCAAAAGATCATTTCAATTTTCAACAGGATATTTATTTTGCATACTCACCGGATAAAATTGATTCTAGTTCCAATGTACGTACACGTGAACAGCAACTGTTCTATTTCTTCTAAAATACAGAAAGGAAAACTTTAAACCCTACTTAGCAGTTCCATATTGTGAAGAATTCAAACAATTGTTGAATTATTTTCCCAAATTAAACCTCTTGCGTCAGAATTCTGTCGTCAAGCACCATTAATTTGCATCCAGTCATTTCATCATGTGTGCATTTAGTCAACCTGCCTGTGATGTATCAATGAAAATGTGGTGTAAAAGATATATTTCAATATTCTAAAATATTAGGCAATACCTCTCATGCAATCAATTGAAATGCAACTGGGGGATTCCACCAGGTTCCGCTTACGAGCTAGCTCAATATACTTGTTTACTTTAGTGTATTCAAAATCCTTTTGTATAGATCTATATTTATTTACAGTATGAGTAATACCTCTGAGAAATGTTCGCTTTAGCTTATACAAAGGCGTCTGTTTTCCGCAGATGTTAACAATAACAATTTTGCGATAAATCCAAACTTCCGCCAAATGTGACCTGGGACCAAGATCCGACCTTCACATTTTATGGTCATGTAAAAATTACAATTTGCGGAAACATACTCTGTTAATGCGAAGGTGGTCCAAGACAATTTTATTATAACGCACTGACAACGGAAATACATAAATTGGTCTGTTTTCACAGAGAACTCATATAAATTTTAGTTTTTAATTTCATTTATAATGAGCTACGTGACAATTTATTTTCACTTCCTTACAACATGTTTTAGGCTTTTAAGTTAAGTTCTTTTGCCGTGCTCTAAATGGTATTTAAGATCACTGAATACTGAATTCTGAGTTATGCCAAAAGTAATGCTAAACTCGTAGACGGTAATAGGATTAAAAAAGAATTCAACAAAGCATTACTAAAACATTTTGTGTATTTAAAGATTTTACTTTTTATTTGCCAGACTCGGTATGTAAATTGCGTAAAATTTTATTCCAACTATGTTAGGCAAAAGATTAGAATCAGTTGCTAGCCTTAAATCAATGGCGGCTTTCATTGAAATACTGACTAAATTCCAACTACGATAACATCTAATCGCATTCTCTTTACAGTTCCAATGTAATGCGGTATTTTTACAAATTTTTCTTTGAATTTGTTTGTATCGCTCACTAGTCTTGGAAAGTTACTTAATTTCTAACACCATCAGTTCTATCACGCGAACCAATCATTATCGCCTTCATAATACATTTTTTCTGTTCTACATTCATACCAAACTATTTATTTATACCACATATTTTGAGCATTAAATATTCTGAAAACCCTAACACTTCGTAATTTTTTATTTCCTGTAAAATATGAAAAAAAAATATATATCGTTCAACAACCTCCATACTAGTAATTTGACATTTAAACGTTTGACGTCAACCATTTTTGTTGCCAACTGTAATAATGGAGTACATATCGTTTGACAGAACTTTTCCAACTATACCGAAATTCCTCACAAGTAAGGGTTTATTCGATTCCTTGTAACTGCAAGTGATTTCAGTTGAATTTTGTTCATAATTATTGTAACAAAGCGCAACCTTGACGACGGCGACGCCTCGGCTGCTTTGTCTGACGACTCAGTGTTACGCATTCGTCTCATTCATACTCTAGATGCGTTTCGTGCGACATAATTCTAGTGTTGACGCGACCAGCTCAACTAATTACCTGTTCTCGCCCACTCCTTGCTACGTGAGTGTTTCTTCGGCGGTTACCTCTTAAAGCTAGTCTTCCTCGACTCCATGATTGGCATCACAATCGTCATTGCTCTTTTATTTACTCCTACTACTATTAAAGCCTGACTGATTTATTCTATTGTTACATCGCTAACCGTCTAGACTGCTCTTTGTTCTCTTAGTGACGTTACTTTAATTAAATTCGATTGCAACAGATGGACAATGTCCAACTAATATTGCATCTGACACGCTTGTTCTTTTATCTTGATTGATGGCTCTTCATCTATGAATGAGTTTATTTGTGTGATAATATTGTCACCGGCGATGTCTATAACAGATTGCGGAATGCTTGCTTGCCAATGAATACCCTTATTATGACTGACACTCCTGTTGCCTTGCCACTAACTAAACATCACTGCTTCTTTATCTTCACCCCGCTGAGAATGTTCTGCTTCGCTCGGCTATTCGTAGTCCTTTAACAAATGCGAGTAATCGAGAACTGAGACTACTGTAATAAATCGAACTTGGCGGGATATTATCACTAGGTTCTTTTTATATTACATTAACTAGATTACAGAGATAATCATAAATTAGCATAGTAACATTGATAGCAAATATCGATCCTAGTCTGAAATTAGCTTTGGCTTATCTGCTCCAAGGTTTCACTGAATGTTGTCTAACCCTAGTTTAGTATCCATACCTGTTACATGTTGTGTCTAAACGTCTTGTAATAATATGGAGGGAAGGTTGGAGCAGCTAGGTCTTTGGGTGTTCGACGATAGGGCTGTGGTGACGTGGTCATGTGTCGGCAGCATCAACGGGCTGGCGTTGGCGCTGGGCGGTAGCGGTGCAGGCAGCCCTGCAACGGCGAACGACTCTCGGGACCAGACGACGACTTCATCTCGTGCGCCTTCCCCGCCGCCAAACGAGAGGCAGCAGCACTCCAGGTAGACGCGCTCCACGCTCGGAACGTTTGGCTTCTCTGGCTATGGCTGTTTTTGTTGCCAATGGAGTACTAGCTATGGTATCAAAAGCACAATTTGCAATAATTAAAAAATATTCGTTTTAAATTGGCATTACAATCAAAGCTAGTGTTTCATTGGAGAAAAGTAAAGGTGTTGGTTTCGTTTCTGTACTGTAATTTTATGTGGGTCGAGGTCGTTTCCAAATTATTATTATTTTTACTATTTGAACGCCATACAACGTTCCTAGTATGTGTGCATGCTTGCCTGCTGAGTGTTTTGTTTTTTTGTCTTTTTTTGGTGTTAGATGATACCATTTTGTGTTGTTTGTTTTGTTCTTCGAATGTTTAAACGGTGTATTTGTTCTGTATTGTTAGATAGATTTTGTGTACTTGTTCATAGGTTTAATATATTTCCAGCGTCCACAAGATTACAATCCACTACAATATTATCCTTACCCCATATGCGAAAACTTGTTTCGGATATACACTTGCCGTATTTTTAGTATCAGAAAAAGTACATAAATAATTCAAAGAGGAAATTAAAGGTTTAATGATCGTTCTAAACTGTGCAATGTCAAAGTCATACATATGTTTTCCTGTCGACAACGAATGACGTCAGGTCTAAATAAAACAATGATGGTCCTTGTTATTATTGCGTGACTGTACCTACCTGAAAAGTTAAATGAAGTTATGAATTTTTAAATTCTACCCAACTTGAATGACGAGGGAAGCAATAATGGCATCAGCCGTCATTATATTATTGAAATAAAGGAACGGAATAAAAAAATAAGTATTAAAAAATTGCAATCCTAAACATACAAAAGGATTGATGTAAGGATCATGACAGGTGTGTTTTGTATCTTGCCATAATTGCAACTGAGATATTTCAACAGGTAAGTCAGTAAACTTTGAGAGGAGTAAAGTATTGGATGAGGATAAAAAATGGATCCTTTTCACAGAAGCCAAAACAAGAGATCATCGGTAAATCTTATCCGAGATACCAAGTTGTAAATTCGCTTTATTTTTTCCACCTCAGGCAATTGATTAGCATGAAATGATGTTAGATGTCAATATTAATTACATTGGTATTTTGGGTGGAGAGTATTCGATTTGCAGAAATAATTTTCTGAATAGTCATTACAAGATAAATGGCAGACTACGAATAATAAATAATTCTTTTCAAAGCTATGTTGCATTGCTACTAAATGGAGTCTAGAACGTACCGAAAGAAAATAGATCCAATGCCAAAAGTAGTAGGAAGTAAAGAGCCAAATTTGATGTAGAGCACCGCCTGTTTGTGGGCGGAGCTTTGGCATGGTCATACGATACTATCTAGATAATTTTTAATATGACAATAACCACTCGAACGAACTTAGAAAAAAAAACTGGTGCTTGAAATGAAACCTGTTTGTTTTTTAGAAAAGATTTACATTACCTTGATAGTTTAATTAATTCATTGCTGGTGGTTTCGAGTATAGGTGCCCTGCAAAAATTAACCAGAAATTAGGATTGTGAATTGCATTAACACGAACAATTTTCTCTTACATAAAGAACCAAAACAAATGTCAAGAATTCTAGATTAATCTATAGTCAATCTTAACATTCCTGATTTAGTATGCCAATCAGTTGTGCGACCGCAATCAATATTTGCAATCAATCAACTCAAATGTGCAATGTTTGCAATAATATTTTATATCTTTGAATAACATCTAATAATCACTTGGTATATTTATTTATCATCATAAAAACACTGCGGTGAACTTCTTGTAAATAGAAGCACATTTGCATAAGTGATAATATTTTGACGAATATGCAACTGTTGATCATTAAAGTAACATTTGGTCAGCCCTAATGTCCGAATAAATTCATATGAACATTTATATCCTTCGTGTCATTATGTGCTAACGATGCGACGTTGAGTAATTACGATAAATGCGCATACCTCCCAAGGCATCTTCATCCCAAAATCTACGTGTTGATCATCATAATTTAACTCATAATTTTGAGCACCAAGGCGAAGCTTACGTCATGCTCCCAGAATAGAGCGCGGTTGCTTTCAGTGTGTAGTTATTGTAGATTTTTTGCTGGCAGGTTATTGACTTGGCATTTAGATGTCACGACAAGGGTATAGAGGAGCTCGCCTCTCTTACACCGAACTGATCGTTAAACGATGCAAGTCGACAATATTCGTAGAAGATCGTAAAAATACCCCTATACATTGTTTTTAATAAGAAACAAATAATAATTTAGTTGAAACTTACTAATGACGGCGATACTTGCTCAGTATCGATATCGCACGATGCCGAATACATCATGCGGGTACTATAAATAGTTTTTATGTTTGGGTTACAATAATATAAATATTGTGTTGAGTACAGATACCTGTTAGACGGATTTCGAACGGCAGATGTGAAGGTCATTATTGTTTATATTGATGTGATGATTATGGGTAGGCAGGTTAAGTTTTATGTAGGTAGCAAACCACAACAAAACAAAGTGGGTGTTCGTATTGAGCTTTGAATATTTATGAGCGATAATGGGCAGCAGATTTATATGAAAATTAATTCAATTTTATGTGCGTCATAACTTACTGTTTGTGATATAACTTATGTCTTATTACGTTAGCGTACAAAACAATTATTTGTTTAACTGAGAGATATTGAAAAAAGCTTCAAATTATGTACTTATTTATTTTCTTCGAGTGTTAGATTAGTGACCAAGAGACTCATAGGACACTTGAAAACATACATATTAAAAGGTGTTAACAGTAAGTCACGTTCAATTGGTAAATAAATATTTAAATAGACAAAGTCCACTTTAAATATTGTGTAGGCGAACCATATTATGTATTTGTTCAAGTTCGTATACATTATCTACTCGGCTTTGAAGCTTAGGCAAAAAATCTAGTAGTGTTTCTAATACAGTTTTTATTGCGACTTGTGTTCTTAAGGCGTGGTGCATCTCAGACCAAAATAAATGTGGTCTAGACAAGTCAAGTTTTTATTGCATTAACATAATGAAACCGACTACTGCATAAGCCAGTTTTATCTAAAACTTTGAATGTTGAGATTTCTATTCTTTTAGCACAAAGCTTAACATTTACGAAGGTACAATATTTTTCACAAGTAAAATATCAGGCTTGTGTAAAATGTACCATCATTTACAGTATTTCGCTCCACAAAACAGAAAACAAAATGGCGATGCCCTCATTCGATAAGACCTCGAATCTTCTATTCAATTCTCCAAATTAAGTTCAACCATGTTCTCAATATTTATCTTCCAAAGTTGCTTGAACGAAAACGCCTTCAATATCCCTTAAGTCTCGAGATTTGACGAAGAAATGAATCTCGAATTCCTAATAAAATACTCCCGCAAATGCGTGCAAAATCGTTGTAATAATTCACGAGTAATCTTCGGAGTGGAATTCTTTTCGAAAGCGTTTAAGCTTGGTGAGAAAAGTGAGCAATTAAATTGAAGTTAGCTTGCTCAGTCGCGCCCTCAGTGCTCTTCGCAGCACGTATTTGTGCGTATCCGCAATTCCGCTATAAGTATTGTGTCCGACACCCCTGTGAACATAGGACCATAGGGCTGTACCTAGTCAAATGCACGCTGTTTAACTCCAGCTAATGAGCGTGAAATAATGCTGCAATTACATGCTAATTTCATAGTGCAGTTGAAATCATTGCATGCTACAAACAACATTGTAGTAAGGTAAACAATGACTAATATTCCCGAAAAGCTAGACATGCCTAAGATTGTGGCATAAGTTAGTAAAGCCACGTTTCGGTAAATTATTTTTATCAAAGCTTTTTCCATTTTGATGACAAAAAAAAACAAATAATAAATTGACGCAAGATATCCCCTGAAATAAGACTTACTGAAACGCAGAGTTATTTGCCTTTGTAACGCAAAATTAGCCCAGTTTTCTTCGTACTGACAATAAAAGCATAAAATAATTTTAAAAATAATACTTTGTAGCAAGATAATAAAATGGCGTCGTTAAAATGACAAGGCGGAGTTTTACGAACATTAAAGTGACATTCGCGTGTCAAGGGATATTTTAATATACAAGGGCTTAAGTGGGTTTAAGAACGTAAAACTCGTGAGTCAAAGGTCGGATAGGATTCGAAATAAACATTATAAACAACCTACAGCGGAATGACATACGCCTACAAGTTCTCAAAGCAAACATTAACTGATTTCTGTTTGTTTATTTGCATAAAAATATTTCTTATGCAAACCGAATTAATTAAATCGAAAGGCTTGTCGATATCTAAGGTTATGACAATAACAACAATGTAGATACATATGTTACTTAAGTTTTTTTTATTTGGATTCAAACGATGATTAAATCAATGTAAGATATTATCGCAGACAAAGGTATAATATGACCAACGTTTATCGGATTCTAGCAATACTAGAAATTCTCAAGAGTAATTTAATTGTTCAGGACTTCTAATACTTCAATGTAGGTACTTATAACAATGCAATCATTCATAGCCTCATGTCACGTGTAACAGCACATTGTTGTAACAATTAATAAAACATCAATACCATATAAAAATCAATGTATGCAAGTAAAAAATGTAGAAAAAATTATAGCCATGCTCTTGCCTTATAAGCGTGTTCAGTACACGTGCTGAGAGCTGCATTTAAATTAGTTGCGTCATTAATATAAGTACATGCTTACATAGCTACAGTATGCACAAGTTCCCATTGATTCCCCCCTTGCTGCTGTTTACACGCTCCACTCGCCACCCCGCAAGGGTTCAGCCAATTAAGTACCTGACACAAGATTTTAATAGCACACCATGTTTCGCTAATGAATACAGAATATATCAATATTTCACCTACGCTTAGAAGTCTTTTTAATTAAAACAAAATTTATTTGTCTAGAAGCAAAGCCCTTAAACGAAATATTATTAAACGCAAAAAGCTCTTATCTTGTTAAGTCTAAACAGGTCTCATTAAAAATAATGATAATAAT